AAGATATCACATGATGCCTGAATCTATTCCTGTGATCCTGTCCAGCTTAAATAACCTAGACGCACAAACTGCAGGGGTCGTGATAGAATAGTGAGGGTCAAACAGGAGTAACAACAGATGAGGGCTTGGAGGGAGTCATCGCATGAGAGATTTACAAACTAAGGTCCAGATCTTCAATGGGATTATAGGCCTACCTCACATTGATTTCAATGGGAAGCAGATGTCTAAATATCTTTGAGGATCTCACAGTTAGTGACTCATTTCAGCAGATGCCCAGTGCCCCTACAGCTCCAGGTGAAGTGAATGGGAGCTGCGGGGGCTGAGCAACTCTGAAAATCAGGCCCTATGTATGCATTGTTTAGTAGCAGTAAATTCCAGTCGAGATCCCTGCCTGGGGACTGCCCAACTGAGGTGCTGAATCAACACGTGTGGGCTGGTCCTGCCATTTCTGTGGCTGTGCCAGCTCTGACCCTTGACAAAGAGGAGGTTACAGACAGACTTAGGACAGTGGGGCCCACAACCTGGATCGTTAATCAGTTGACTATGTTGACTCTCCCCCTTTACTAGCATGGTGAGCAGTGAAGAAGTGGAAGGATCAGAGAATGCCCTGTATCTCAGCCTATCCAAGGTGTGTAGATATTGCCTGATGAGTGCACAACCTACTGTTTTGCTTGAGCTGTGCTAAGTGTATGGCTGTTTTCATATCTGCTGTGCTTTTTACAAAAATGCAGTCTGATTCATACAGATCTTTCTCATAAGTGTCATAGTTGGGCACAACTTTTTTGCACTGACATCTGCAAAAACTCCCTTTTTATTTTTGTAGTGCATTTCTGGAACTTCCACAAACAGAGCACAACAGTCCACAAATTTTGTCATCTCAAGTGTAATTACAACCCCCTTCTGCCAAGAAAAATTACGACATGACCATGGGCGGGGGTGAACCAGACTTTGGCTTCAGCCCCAGGCCCTAGCGAGTCCCAACCCACAGTTTGAAAACCTCGGTAGAGCATTGAACAGGACTGAGCTAGACCCTGATGCCCCCCCAGCCAGTGTTCCCATCTCCCATTGTCTCAGAGAAAGAGAGTTAACAGCTTTGGCTCCTGTCTCTAGTGTTACCCGTCCTCATGGGGCAGGGAAGTTCTTGCTGCAGAACTCCCATTGCTTCT